AAGATTGCCATGATAAGGACGTGTTTAACCATTTCGATCAAGAATTCCTACCAGCAATAAACACAATCGTTTTGTACGAGCTAACGTCATGGCTTGTTCCATATGGACCATCAAGATAAACCTTTATCGTATCCCTCTGCACGGCAATTTCAGCGAGGCGCTTGGTGAAACCTTCTCGAACATGGATCAGGAACACGAGCTCCTTCCAATGCGACACAGTCGCATGCTCCAGCGCTACCGTGGCGCGCTCGTTCATACTAGTACTAGTAGACAACGCAGAAGAGGAATCTGCCAAAGCCGGCTGAGGTGTCATTTCTCGCGAGTCATAGCTCGCTATCGTAAACGGATGGGATTCAAACGGAAGAGCGGATACTCCTGGGCAGATGAGATAGGCAAGTTGTCCGGGAGCCCATTTAAAGTGTGGTGGTCGTTTGAGGGTCAGACGCACACATTCGGGGGTGATAAGTTCCGTGTTAGCATCGAGTGTGTGGTTCCCTGCACTGGAGCCAAGGCCAAAGTAGAGGTGGTTGAAAAGAATCAACCTGGTGGTGCGGATACCACGGTCGACTCCCCAAATGACGAATGAGGGCCATACATACATGTGGTAGCTAGATAACGTAGTTAGAAGTTTGGTACACAATTGAAAGTAACCGAGAAGTACGAAAAATTCTTCGTGTGATAAAAGGATCCAATCAGTATCAATCTAGGAATGGTAAGTTATCCTGATAAGTACTTGCAAACGTGATCGTACTTACAAGACCAAAATTAAGTGGGTACAAAAGAAGAATTCATACGCTCTAGCTCGTACGGGTCTGATAGAAATTAGACACAATATTATTAAAGAAAATGCTGCAAGGATCCCGCAATGTAACCAGGTTGAGCCCAGATCTTTCGCAGATATCCTACAAACGAAAAGCTTTGAATATACTTGGAAGAAAAGAAGGTTACTCGAGCTCTACTCACCCCAGTGATATCGTCTGTGGTGTAGTTCGAGAGGTTGTCAGGTCGGGCACTATTTCGATAAGTCTTGTACGACTCACCCTCCCAGTTGCATGAACACATATCAAGACAAAAATAACGCGGGCGGCCATACGATGCAGATAGTTGAGCTGAAATGCCAATTAGAAACTACTTTCGAGGTCAAAACCATGGTTCACCTTTTCATGGGATACTCCGATTATGACTTTCATACAATAGTCAGGGGCTATCACACAATGCATCTGACCGAAAGGACTTACATGAGATCGCACTATTCTTCGTCCCGAGAGCAGTGATCAAAGGCAATTGGCTCGCAACGAGGACTCCACAACGATCGCTCCAGTACTTCACGTCAAGTTTTCCGCCGGAAACATTCGTTGCTGTGAGGGAATAATGTGAGCCAAAGAAAACAGTAAATTAAGAAATCATCTCACTGTTTATGAAGGTCCAAGTAAAGAGCGCAGTTATGTACATGATGGTAAGAACAACCTCAGCTAGGTTCAGACTGAATGAGCCAAAGTTGAGAGTTATGCGAAAAGCTACGATCCGATAAAAGTTCACTAGCGCCGATAGCAGATATCGCAGGCTGATCGATCTGTTGGCAGGATGGCTTGCACCTTTTTCTGAGTCCCGGGCTTTGATGAGGGCATTTGGTCTGAATAGCTTCGATGATACGTAGGACAGGAAGCGGAATATGACGACGAGAGCTATCAAGGACGTAAGAAAGAACCACACTTCGTGTGGATACTCATTTGCACGCTGAACGCGTAATGTCTTGTCTAGATTTGGAGGGACACTCGAGGGATCTGTTGGGGACAGTTTCATGATTGGAGAGAATATGAGACTCAAGGGTCGGGGGGCACGGGTGAGAAATGGGAAAAGAACCGGTCTTTAAGTAGAGCCATGAATAATGGAAAGGGTAAAAGTCTGAGCCATATCGGACTGCTCGCATGTCAAAGAAGAGACAATTGAAGCCTCCGAATCTTGCCTGAATCAGCGAAAATTAGCACAAGAATTCGACCCTATTTGAGTCCGTTTTTAGACCTCATTTATGAGGTCCTATTGAAGCCGTAACCGATAACAGCGTCAACGAGACTGCGAGACTGACGGAGTTCAGTGGGAGCTCCCGGAGGTCTGATAGGTGTGATTTTGACCATTACTAACGGCAGACGTGCTATATCATGTCCAAGGAAAGGAAATATCGAAAGTCCATACGAAGAGCTAGATTAGCATTGATTCATTGGAGTAAGGAGTATCGTACCAAGAACCGTGTGCCCCGTGTCCAGGATTTCCAGAGGAAAAACAATTGAGGGACTGTTCTTACGCAGGGCTCTGATGGAGCTGAACACTGCGACGGTACATATCAGATTAGATATCTATCCATCCTTAATTCAATTCTTCTGAACCCAAGTATCAGATAAGACAACAATTCACCAGAATTCCTACCAATTTCGCCAAAACTCATATCCCGGAACTGGTAGGGTTAGTTATGTCCACTGCCAAGCCGAAAATACCGTTCTAAAAGTATTGTATATACACAAGCAAGGGAAGATAAGTTCCATGCGTACGGGCTTCTTCAGCTTCTTCAGAAAAGTTAAGAGGGTGCAGGATTCCACTTGCCCATTCGGCAAGACACACCATTGATATAGACAGATAGTGCCATAGACCGGGCTTCAAACTTCATATACAGCAATCAGATGACATCTAACCGATGGACTGCCAACTGAGCCTCACTGACTCGAGGGTAGATAGGGCAGTAGCTCTTGAATATTTACCGAGAGAAATTTTACGCTTGAGGCTTGGAATTGTCAATATCGGACGGTTTGTCAATTATCTCCACACAGCGCCGGCTGGTAGTTCAATGAACGTAAAAAGTGCAAGGAACAACTTGAGTTTGAAGCTAGCGAGTTGAAGAACAGGTTACAGTTAGCCTGGCTAGTCGTCTTCTTGAAGGAGCACTTTCGCTCGCTCCAGAACTTGAAGCCTAAAAGGCTCCAGAGTAAGACAGTTTCGTCACGTGTTGACGAATAACGGTTTCCATGGTACGCTGATACCTACTACCTTTCCATGTCTTCCAGTAGCTTGAATCCTAAAGGCTACATACTGACCAATTTCGTTTCGCACACACGCTTTTATCCTCTCCCGCATTCTTTCAAGTATACAACTCTCGCTGTATTTGTCGAACTTTCCGCTCTAGAGAATGGAGAGTTGGATATTCCCCTGTTATTTGGCTTTAACAAACGCTGGCGCGCGTTGTGCGCGCTCAGACCCAATGGCTATCTCTTTCCCACCTCTTCAGGATCTGAAATGGGTATCAGGAAAAAGCTGGAAGTGTTACTGAGGCGAGAAGGTTATCCGGAGGTTATCAATAATGGGCAATACGAAATATGGATGCTGACAATGCCGAGTTACTTTGGATTTGAGGGGATCAATCCACTAACAGTTTATACTCTGTATAGCACGACCAAAGATCACTCTAGAAATCTGTCCCTTGTGGTATTTGAAGTTCACAACACGTTCGGTGAAACACACGTTTATTTCATGCGCCCGGGCGTAGATGAAGATAATTCTTCGCTGAAATACATCTATGATCACCAATGGAATTTTCCTCGCGCGTTCCATGTCTCCCCATTCAATGATCGTAGAGGCTGGTATACTGTGTCTATAAAACTTCCTCTCATTGGGGAAAGTCCGAAGCCTATGATCAGCATTCAGCTGCGCGATCCCAGTACTAATGAGGGAGAGGGTGGTCTTCCGGGTAAGACGAAGTTGACCGCAACACTCCGTACAACATCTGCGCTCCCTTTCACTCCATCTTCTCCTTTCGCGATCAAAAACATTCTCCTTACACTCATATCATTCCCTTTGACTCTCTCTTTGAGTATGCCGAGGATCCTTTACCAAGCCGCGATATTACACTACGTCAAAGGTCGAAGGAGCGACGGGGGAGGCAAGTCTGACTTGGAGGTGTACATGCGGCCGGAACCGTTCCTCCCTCCGTCGTCTACTTTACAATCGGCCTGGGATGAAAATGGTATACAGCTCTTCCCTGCCTCTGGTGCAGGTCTTACCATCCGCCGTCTTCCGTACGGTTTCATGGCGTCGTTAGCAAAGAAGAGGGTGCGAGAGTTCCTTCATCATCGAGTTCAGATGCTCTCAGAAGGGCGGAGTGTAGGCGTGGTTCTCGTTGAGCCAACCGTCTATGGAGATACTGAAGAATGGTTCCTTCCCCATCCAGACAATTTATCTACGACGGAAAAAGTTGATACTCATTGCGAGAAGATTCTCCGAATAACACCCCTCGCTCCTGTGTTCTTTGAACTCCTTGTCACTGCGCCGAGTGCAGGATTAGTTCTTCTTGCAGGGAGTGTTATCGACTCACCTGAGCCTACGTCGTACACTCGCATCCTTAATACAAACCGAAGTCCGAACGACGTGTTATTCGTGGTCAACAACCCAGAACTATTTTTAGAGATCTTTAGCACTTCACCGTCGTTCTCGCTTTTGACACAACGTCTCCGCCTCTCTGCAATACCTCCAACCCTCGTTGGTCTCCTGTCCAGGTCTAGACTGGATCCCGACGCTAAAGTGATACCACTGCAAGATTTGAATGACGAGGCATTTAACCGCCTGCTTCACATCACGGATACACATTTCCTCGATCATGCTCCCCCTTCTCGTTCCTATTTTACATTCTTCTCAGTAGTACAACACGTCCTGTCCAATGTGACGTTACTCAGCCTACTATCAGCTCTTCTCGCGGTCTCAGCGCTGGAACCCCGGATCTTTGCGCTGTTTCGCGCTCAGATAAAGAGCGGGACAGAAACTTGGGGTGATAAGGTTTGGGAGAGGGTTGAGGAAAGGATTTGTCGTGTTGGAGAAAAGAAGGATGCTCGTTAGAGTTTTGAAGGTTCTTGGTAGCACATTTTTTGACATTTGGGCTGGATACTTGTTGGTCATAGGTAATCGGTTCAATGAGCTTGAGGCTGTTTTCATATTCGATATGGGTAGATTATTGTTAAGGCCGCCTGGCGAAATGGCATCGCGTCTGACTACGATACTGAGTTCTACGAACTCAAGTTCCAAATCAGGAGATTGCAGGTTCGACCCCTGCGGTGGTCATATTTTTGTTCTCGAGGACTAATCAATTCGGGCGCTCAGTTGGCCAGTTGGCGCTTATTCAAAGTGTTGATCCAGAAATCACTCGCTCGGCCACTGGTGTTTTCAACTGGAAAGGGTACATAATTGTGCATCGTTCTACGTTTTACATGTGTAACGTTTATTTTTTCTAGATGGTATGCGCAAACACAATATCAAGGCAACTTCGAGGATCTTTACCAGGTTCTCTAGTCAAGCAGCTCTCCCTGAAGGCTTAAACTCGAAAATATCCCCAAAACCACCTACCTCGATCAATCCTCTCATTCTTCCTGCCTCACGAACGGCTCCATTTACATCCATTCCACGATCGCTTATTCCTAGCGTTATTGGCGTTCTGTCTGGCACAGAAGCTGGAGGTGTCCCACCATTTGCAGCAGTTTATCCTCCGTCTCGTCATAACGATAATTCTTCATCACACGAGCCAGCTCCATCTTCAGCACAAGATCTCTGGACCCGTGCATTTACCTTGGCAGCGAAAGACGTCAAAACTATACCAGGAAAAATACTTGTCTTTTCCATTGAGAGAAGCCAAGCGAGTTACCGGCCATGGGTACCTCCTACAGTCTCCAGAACAGGCGTTGACCCTTTACCCGTCCCAGTCTTACATCAGCCCATTCGCTTGACGCTCTCGCATTATACCACGCTTATATATGGTCTTACACTCCGCAGAGATTATTCACTTGCGCTAATCTGGGTTCGAAAGCTGATATATCCTTTCCCGTCTTCCGCTTCTCCTCTTTCATCACCATCTCGCGCTTCCAAAGATCCACGACAGGCGATTCATGTGTCGTTGGACGGCCACGCGCTATCCGCTGCCCTTGTCGTCCTTGCTAAGCGTGGAAGGGTACACGAGGCTGTAAGCGTTCTCGAAGCGTATGCTGCACCCACTATCCTGTCGTCCAGTGACACTCGTCACGCGAGGCACGTTAAAATGAATACCATACAAATGAACGATTTTTTGGTATCCCTTCTTCGCTGGCCAAGCAAGCAACATGCTTTGGCAGTTCCTAGTGCACAGTTCCCTCTGAAACCACCATCAGGTCAGACCAAAGGCGGCAGCTTTGCAGCGTTATTTCGTCCGTATCAATCTACCCATGCAACTCGTTCTGCACGCCCGGACCTCATCCTTCGGCTTTTACCTGCTCTTTATCCTCGTTACGGTGTTTCTTGGGATTCCAGAACGGTGTGTGTGATGCTCCAGGCTGTGAGGATGGCGGTAAAAATGGATGCCATCAGTGCATTTGGGTTGAGGCGGGTAATGAAGAAGATGTTTGGTGGAGGCGGGAGTTCCCAAGATCAGAAAATGGACATCGAGGCCATACCATATGGAAAAGCTGGAAGTGGGGCGCAAGAAGCAGGCGAAGTTAAGCAACAGTGGCTCATCGCGAGGATTAACGAGATACTATGGCAGCCTATCGAATCTGACAGTGAGCAGCAATAATCCTTTGCTAGAAGACTTCTTATTTTTGTTTTTACAGATTCTACACCTGCGTCGCAATCAAGAAATACAAAGAAAACGAAGAAGATGAGAAAAACAAAACCCGATAAAAAAGTACATCGACATCCGCAATCACCGTTTCGCCCACTGGAGTACTCCCCATTCACACCTTGGCCATGGCTGCATCCATCTTCTTCCCAGCTATCCTCTTCTACCTCCACGGCATTGGTTCACGATGATAAGCAGTCCTCGCTTACAACGCATCCATTCCTCCTCGCTCGTGAAGTCTTTCTCCGCCTCGTATGGGCGCATGCGGAAAGTCTCAATAAATCTACTGCTCCAAAATCAGGTTATATAAACCTTCATACTAGTCATCCACCTGCAACGTTATCGCCACGGTCCTTCGCCAGGCTGTTAGATCCGGACGGAGATGGTTTAGGCCATCTGGGCGGTTTACCGAAGTGGTTCGAAACACTCGAAGGGGCGCTGAAACGAAAACTGGGGCTCGCGGTTTTTGGTTCTGGCTCTAAGGAGGCGGACAACGAACTTGGAGGACGACCGAGAACCAGGATAGAGGCTGTTGATAAGATGTTGGGGTATCCACGGATCACATCGCTGACTCTTCCGAAACTCACGGCTGCTGCCTTTCATCAGTACATTCTTCTTCTTGGTCTTGGTGCACCTGAGCCCTGGGAGTTTATTCAGAGTGGCTGGAGTCAGCGGTATCCTTTTGAGAATTATCCAAATCACACTGAGTCGTCTACCGTATTGAATGTGGATTCTACTACCACTTCCTCAGATCAAGCCAACTATGTGGGCTCTTTCCCGCAAACTCAAACTTCTGCACAACTTGCGTTCCCTAATCCGTTCCTAATCCCAGGACTCACCGAAATTCCTTACGCTCTCTCATTCATGCGCGCTCTCCGCCTCATCCCCACTCAAGATACCCTCTGCGCTGCGGTAGTATTTTGGAAAGAAGCAGTAGGCGGGGAGACGCTTTTCGAGCTGGGGTTGAATGATTACAACGCCAGGCGTGAGGACTTGTCGGAGACTACAGCTAGAACAGGAGACGGAGATGCATATGCTGGTGAGTATGAGGCCTGGAAGGCTAGTCTAAAAAAAGAGCAGAGCAAGGACAGAGATGGTGTTATGGATGTAGGTGGTTTTAGTACTGGCCGAGAGATGGGAGAATATACCAGATTTTGCCGATGGATTCGGGACTGGGTAGATGAGGTTAATGCCACGACGAGGACGACGATGAATGGAGAGACCAAGTTGACGATGTCGATGCCTCATCCTTTCCATATTCACCGATGGATGGGAGTTGTACGCACGATGCGGGAAGGGAAGTATGACGAAGATGAAACTAGGGCAAAGTTTGATGAGGAAGGAAGGAGGATTGCGAAGGGGGAACGCGAGTGATTTCGATCAGAGGATAGCCACCGTACTTAACCTTCAGCCTTCGGTCCATACGATTCGCACCAAATTCTCGCTACCCAACCCTCGCCCCATTCACCCCTGCTATCTGGCCCCATCATTTGCATACATTTATCACCCAGCTTTACCTCAAATAAACTGTGTGCAGAAGAACCTTCTATAGCCTCAGAGTCAGCAACCTTCCGACGGGTCGTTGTTTGTCGCGTTCATCAATGGGTTGACGTGACCTTTCCCTCACTCACACCAGACAATACTAGTAGCTAGAGGCTTGTATAGTTGCATTTGATCCTTTAGCTTTTATTACTCGACTTTAAAGTTGGGGCTTGAATCAGAAGAAGCCCTTGATGGGTGGGGTTGAAACATTGAAGGAGAGCACTTAGTGTGGTTGAAGGATGAAGGATGATTGAGCGGGAAGAGTTTGTACCTGCCTCCAGGTACAGCCAAGTGGTTGCTGAAGTGTGAAACCAAAACTTGGCACTAGGGATTGAGTAGGCTGGTGAGGTCCACAGATCTGATCCATCTGGAAAAATACCCTATTTCCCAGGCTCCCCAGAGACACCTAATCCCAGGCAACCTCAAAGAATCTGAGGAAACACAGGTAGCCCCAGGGGTTGCCCTGGGGAACCCAAATATCCCAGATGTCCTCATGTTGACCAGGACTGGGGGGGTGTCTCTGGGCAGCCTGGGAAATATCATATATGTCTTTTTCCTGATGTCAAATAACAAACATTTAAGGCACTTCTCCTAAAATCAAAGAACCTAGCCTACTATAACGTTAACTGGCTTCGATTGAGACTGAACATGAACATCTTAAAGACCAATAATGACTGTTGGATATGACAGCCTCCCATTGCTCACTGGCAGGATCCATTCAGATTGTTCATTCATTCAACGCCTTGTCAGGCCTAGTATGTTGAGGGCCTGAGGCACCATGCAGTTCATCATCTAATTGACAGAACCTTTTATGATCTCTCTGAACCAGTGTTATGTTGTTGATCATCAATTTGGTTGGTGTTTCATTATTTGCTACTTACTCCAAGTGACACTTCAAGGAGTGCTTGAGTTGCCAGATACTTATTTTTTGATCGACTTTCACTTCCTTTTGTCATTCTCAGAAAACGGGAGGGCTAGCTATGGATCTGTCTAATGTCGACCCATCCACATCTAACCAAGGTGTGTGACCCGCAAGCTTTATAAGTTATATACATTGGAATATTCGGTGCTGACACGATCGGGCAAAGCTCCAGCAAAGAGTTTTGATCAACTCTTCATCTCTTTCCAGTTTATAGGCCTTTTAGGTTCTATCCTTACCCTAATTGCCGCTCGTTTTTCTTCTCGGCAAAGGCAGGCTACTTGGTACAACTTTATGGGGAGCTGGGTATTGTTCTGCGTGTCGTACTTGCTCTTGTTTTTTACAGGACATGCATATGACGGAGATCCTGGCCTCCCTCTATGTATCCTTCAATCGTCCCTCGTCCACGCTGTATCACCATTGTAAGCCCACAATTTATAATCGAGGAGAGTAACCGGTTGGCCAGAATTTTTCAGTGTTGTTGCTTGTTCATTAGCATTAGTTATTCAGGTGAGTTAGTGTCGCGCTTAAATTCCCTTTAGTTTCTTACCATCGTCGCTGCTGTTACGTAGCTATTCTTCGATATCAGCTCGACGCTGTCTGGGAACTGTGTTGGGAAATCAAGATATTGGAGAATTACCGTTATTATTTGGTCCTTTAACTATGTTTGCTGCTTGTCTAACCTTGCACTTCTATAGCTCATTGTAACGCCATACGCTATCCTCCTTTTCCTCATTCTAGAATCTATAGCTGTGAGCCCTGATCGACGTCACTCTTCCGCGTAACACGATATTGAATTGCATTTTTGATAGGTATCTTTCGCTACTCATGACACTGAGTTCTCTTCGATCCCATATTGTTCGTACAAAAACAAAGTTCCGTGAGTTCCAATATTCCACATTGTCGTAGTTATTACTAGCTTCGCCTCATCCTCCTTTAGTGGCCGAATAACTTCGGCATTCGCTATCATTCTCGCCCTTCCGATGATCTTCTTGGTTTGTGAGCTACATTAAACCA